GCGCGTTGTGTTACAGCTGGAGGTGGGGGCCTCAACGTCAGACCAATCATGTCGCGTTGTCGTGCCACGTAGGCAAGAGTCCACGGCGTCCGGTGGGGTGGGGTTCGACCGTTCGAGACTTCATTTTCATTCATACCCACGTTCTATAATAGTGATCTGTCTCCCCATTCAATCATGAGTTTTGTCTTCGATTTACCATTATGCTCCTCTCCTAACCCTCTGCATTTATTGGTATACTCATTTCCTTTATTTTTAGTAATTTTAATTTAATTTTAAAAATTTTTAATATAAAAAATTTAATATATTATATAAATAATACTTAAATTTTTTTAATCAAATAAAAATATTTAATAAAACTTTTATATAAAAAAGAAAAATTTTTAATTATTATTTATATAAATTATTAAAATTTTATTCAAAATTTACATCTAAAAAATTAAAAAATCAAATTGAATCTATTAAAAATAACAAAAGAATAGTTTTTAGATGAATTATAAGCATTTTTGTCAAAATATTTAAGCAAATGTTTTTTCAATTCCTCCCTTTCAATCTAAACATTTAAAAAAAAAAATTCCTCCCTCCCAATATTGTTTTTGTAACACATGGCACATGGATAAACTTAGGGTGAGTTAAAAAATAAAAAAAATATTATATTTTATTAAATAATTTAAAATAAAAAAAATTAATCACTAATAATTTAATTTTAAGTTAATGATATCATTGCATCGATGGTTTCTAATAAACCACCCTAATCAAGATGTAAACGTCGTTCCTTTTGGACCAGACACTATGCAGGGAAAGGATGTAGGGTGAAAATAAATATTTAGCTATACATTTAGATATGATATAATTTAAACTTAAAATTCTTTATTTTTATTTAAAAATATTACCATTAAAATCGTTAGTAAGTAAAAAACGAATGTAAAATGAAAATAAATGTTTTTTGTGATATAATGTGTACATAAAATTACGCAAACTCTTTGAAATGGTTGATTTGCCATTAATTAAACCATAGCATGTGAAATTGAACATACTACATAGAGGTAGAATATCTAAATCCACTCTTAAAGTATAGTAATAAGAATGAATTTATCTTTAAATAAAAAATAAAGATAAATTTATTCACAAAATTTTCGATTTAAACAAATTACTTTAAATTTAATATGTAACATTATCTAACATTAATAATTTATTAATTTGATATCATTTGACACTAATTAATGAATTATTGATGTTAAATAATATCACATATTAAATTTAAAATAATTTATTTAAATTAAAAATTTTATAAATAAATTTATCTTTATTTTTTATTTAAAAATGAATCTGTCCTATCACTATACATTAAACATAGATTTGGGTATTTTACCTTATAT